GGGGCCATGGCCCCATCACTTTTAAAAGTGGGAGGGCTATGCCCCCCACTTTTTACCAGCCATAAGGGTGAGCGATGGGGGGGGGGGCGAAAGAGGAGAGATGGGGGGGGGCGTCCAGGGAAGAGGCAGCACAGGTGCTCAGGGAGAAGGGGCTTGGGGCGACAGTTCGGGTGCCGGTGGCCCCCCCTCACTTTTAGGGACCTTCTGTTGCCCCTGATACATACCATGGTCAACAACTGCGCTCCACGAAGACAATGGAACTCATATTAAGGGTAAAGCTCATCATTGCAGGAGACAAAGCCTTTTTGGGGCCCAGACAAAGACTTTGGAATGAACTCTCCCAAGAAATAAGAACCATCATGAACCTTCCATTTCAAGTGCAAGGCACATTTCTTTGGCTGTACCTTCTCTGACAAACACATAGCCACATGTGACTACTTAAATAAATATATTTAAATAAATTCCAAAACAAAACACTCTCCTACACACTTTCCCCCCTGGGGAGAGCATGAGAGAACAAACACATGACAGATGTTAGTCACATTGCTTAATGCAAGACTGGAAGGCACTTAGATACTAGGGTGATGGACCACAGTACAAGAACCTGCATACTTTAAAAGTCTCAGGTTTCCAGACACTACAATTAAATATTGCTTCTATTTCATTCTTTTTACCCTCTTCTTCCACTTTCCAAACTGATAATGTTCTTTGCGTGATTGTGTATGCAATTTTAAAAAAATCTATTATCATGATGCTGCTGGTCTTTGCCTGACTGCATATATAAGGCCTGGCCTACGCTTAAAATTTAGATTGACCTAAAAACAGGTCAGGGGTGTGAAAAAATTTACATTCCTGAGTGCCATAGTTAAGCTAACCTAAACTCCAGTGCAGACAAAGCTGGGTTGAACTGAAGAATTCTTCCATCAATTTATCTACTGCTTCCTGAAAAACTGGATTATCTGCATTGACCCAAAACCCCCTTCCGTCTATGTAAAAAGCATCTACACTAAGATACTATAGCAGCATAGCTTTGCAGTTATGCCACTGTAGTGCCCAGACCATATACAGGGTCTAAGAATGTGTGCAATTAACACAAAATCTATTACCATGATATTTTTAAAAACTAAAGAATATCGGATCAAACTTTGCACCTAGATTTACACAGGAGGGCAGAATTAGGGCCATTCCTACTACAAGCCCTGCAAAATGTAGTGTCATAAGTCATGACACCATGTCAGAGCTGGCCATGCCCCAGCCATGCTCCTCGCACATCAAGAGCTAACATGGATGTTGACCCCCTTTCTGCCGAGGGTTATGCTATTCAAAGTTTCTCCAGGTGCATGCTATAGGTGCCATCTTACAGCTGTTGTTTTCCACAGGACATTGGTGCTGGAACTGGGGGTCCTGGAGATGCTGCCTCTCCCCATGGCTTGAAGTAGTTTCCACTATAAAAGATTTACAGTTTGGTTCAATGGCTCTCAGCACCCCCACTGTACAAATTGTTCCAGTACCCCTACCACAGGGCCACTGGTCAAGGCACTCTGATGACCCTGAATTGGCTATGGTACAACAGGACGCCACCGCTATTGGATCGTGGACATTCCTGGTGCGGCTGCCTACGGGGGCCGGGGTGCTGGAACAATTTGTACAGTGGGGCTGCTGATGCTGAGTGCCATTGAACCAAACTGTAAACCCTGGATATAATGGAAAACACTGCAAGCCAGGGGGTGTGGCAGCATCTCTAGTTCCAGCTCCAATGAGGGGGCTGCACCCCAGGCTACCCCATGTGCCATTACTACACCTGCAGCCAATAACAATAGGCGCACAAGGAAAGGGGGGTGGGGGAGAGATACCGTCCCCTACAGCTCCTGACCCTTTAGGGAGGAGATTTCTGTTTTACCCTCCCCCCCCCCCATACCAGCAACCCCCAGATGCGGTAGGTTTCGTTTCCTCCCAGCGCACCCCACGCCGGCTCCGAGCGCATCTGCGCCCTTGCAGCCGGCGGCGGCGCCCCAGTCCCTGCAGCGCCCCGCTGGAGGGAGAGGCAAATGCGCGCGCGGGGAGGCTCTTACCAGGAAGCCGGGCTGGTCCCCCGGCGCAGGCTGCTGGGGCTCGCATCCGCGGGACGGCGGGCGGGGGTTGCGAGCGGCAGGCGCGTTGCACCGGGACGCGATGCTAGGGGCCGCCGAGCCTGAGGCGGGTGGCTCCCGGCGGCCAGCAGCCGGCTCCCGGGGCAGGGGGATGCCCTGCCTGGCCGCCTGCGTCCCCCCCGGGCGCTCCAGCGAGCTCGGCGCGCAGGCGGGGCGCCCCTCCCGCTCAGCAGCAGCGGGGCCGGGCAGCCCCACGCCCAAGGCGGTGCGGGGCACAGGCGCCCCCGGCCCCTGCGGCAGAGCGGAGCCGGTTCGGCGGCTACCGACGCGAGCCCGCCGCAGTGAGCCGAGCCGCGGCCCCAGGCACGGGGAGGAGGAGCTCCGCAGCCCGCCCTGCCACTCAGGAAGCAGCATGGCAGGAACAGCCTCCCCCTCCCCGCTGCCGGTCCGGCTGCAGGGAGCGAGCCTGGGAGTCACGGGGCACCGTCCTCCCGGCTAGAGCCAGCGCCAGAACAGGGGACCCCGGCGAGGGAGCCTCCCCCAAAGCACGGGGTAGGGCTAGTCCCTGCCGCGGGAGGCCGGCTGGAGGCGATGCCCGCAGGGCGCGAGGCATGGGACAGGTATGTGGCAAGGCAAAGCCCCCGCCTCCCACCGAGTTCCCATCTCGTTGCTTGGCCGCATCCTACCAAACCTTTTGTGGATGGTTTCAGAGTAGCAGCTGTGTTAGTCTGTATCCTCAAAAAGAACAGGAGTACTTGTGGCACCTTAGAGACTAACAAATTTATTAGCACATAAGCTTTTGTGGGCTACAACCCACTTCTTCGGATGCATATATGCATATATGCATCCGAAGAAGTGGGTTGTAGCCCACGAAAGCTTATGCTCTAATAATGCATCCGAAGAAGTGGGTTGTAGCCCACGAAAGCTTATGCTCTAATAAATTTGTTAGTCTCTAAGGTGCCACAAGTACTCCTGTTCCTTTTGTGGATGGACCGTCCTGATAAGAGCCTGATAAGCCTGCAGACGCTTGCACTGTGAATAACTGCGCTCAGGAGGGGTTCAGTGGGGGGACTCTCCTGATCAGAAGAAAAATTCAAGTTTGCAAGTATTTGCAGGATCAGAGCCCAAGGCAGGCTGGAGGGGGGCACCGGTCCTAGATAGGGTGTCTCATATGTTCCATTGGCCACCTCTGGGTTCATTGTGCTAATTCAATTAGCCAAATAATAATATAATAAAATGTATTTATGGGCTGGCATGGTATGTGTTTTGTCTGCAAAATGTAATTTTTTTTTTAAAAGGACAGTATATGAACTAAAGAAATAACATGTTGAGAAATGCGTTAGGAGAAAAGGCAACACCTAGGAGGCAGTTTAATGAAAATAAACATATCCGTGTATGAATCCAGCCAGCAGGAAGATTAGCTTCAGAGGAATGAGAAAGGAAGGGACTTTACACTCTCTCTCTGGTAATAAATTTTAAGAACCCAGATTAGACACATTGGGTAGCTGATAAAGTGCAGGTGTCCTGTGCTGTCACAGTAGCCCTAGTGTAATGTTCTCTCAATTTTTCTGGTTTACACTCTTAGCACATACTCCTCAGTATGCAGCAGCAGTCAAAAAAGCTAACAATGTTAGGAACCAGTAGGAAAGGGATAGATGAAACAAAAGATTATAATGCCACGCTATAAATCAATAGTACCACCCACACCTTGAATACTGCAGGCAGTTCTGATCACCCCCTCTCACAAAATACAGAATTGGAAAAGGCCTACAGAGGAGGGCAACACACATGATTAAGGATATGAAACAGCTTCTATATGAGGAGAAATTAACAAGACTTGGACCTTTCAGCTTGAAAAAAAGATGACTAAGAGGAGATTATGATAAAGGTCTATAAAATTGTGATTGGTGTGGAGAAAATGAATAAGGGAGTGTTATTTACTCATTCACATAACACAAGAAGCAGGAGTCACCCAATGAAATTGATAGGTAGCATGTTTAAAACAAAAGGAAGTATTCACACAATGCACAGTCAACCTGTAGAACTTGTTGCCAGGGGATATTGTGAAGGGTTTAAAAAAGCTAGATAAATTCATGGAGGGTAGGTCCATCAATGGCAATTAGCTAAGATGGTCAGGGATGCAACCCCATGCTCTGGGTGTCTCTAGCCTCTGACTGCCAGAAGCTGGGAATGGGTGATGGGATAAATCAGTAACTGAGTGCCTGTTCTGTTCATTCCCTCTGTAGCACCTTGCATTTGCCACTATTGGAAGACAGGATAGGGGGCTAGATATTCCATTGGTCTGACCAAGTATGGCCATTCTTATGTACTGTATTAACAAGTATGCTGTCCTCAGAAAGCCTCGGTGTCTGCCGTGCTAACAGTAAAACAGAGCAGCTTATTATAATAATATCTCACCTTGATATTATTATTTAGTTAATTCCCAATATGTGCAAAGTGCTTTGCTGATGTATCAGCTGACTATAGAGTTTTCAATCTAAGGACCTGATCCTGCAAAAATTTATATGTGTGCTTAAAACCTTATGCACTATGAACAGGCCTGTTGAAGTCAATGGGGCACACACCATATTTGTAACTAAGGTAGATACAAAGGGTCCAGTTGTGGCTATGTTCCTAAATTCTAATGGCTGGTGCAAAAATATGTAGAAAGGATATCATTTCCTATTACGTTCTCTAGGCGTTTCCCATAGGGGCATGAGGGTAAAGAGAAGTGCCATAGACTGGAAGAGCTCTTCCACCCTGTCTAACATAGCTCAGAAAAGTGGTGGTTCTGTCATGTCAACATTACTTTAAAAGCAGCCCAAAGAAGTTTCCCTGCCTTCTGAGGATCCATTTTTTGTGCAAACAAGTGCCATTGCAATATATTTTTTAAAGACTTTTTAATCCTATGTACTACGGAAAAATGGTTTTGATTCAGTCACTGATTTATGAGTCCATAATATTGCTTTATTTTAATTATATTTATGTTTGGATCTGGAGGCAGTATGTATATTCAATTGTGCTCTGGTGAAACATTTATCTCGTGTCCTGGGGAAAGAATGCAATGATTCCTTCAGTGGGGGAAAAATCGGGGTTAACATCACATATAATAAATGTGGGCAAACTGGGTAATATACACAGAAAAGGAAAGGTTGGATAGTGACTGTTTTAACTAAAACTTATACAAGAGAATCAATAACCAGAATGAATTAAAAAAAAATTATTCAGGCTTTAAAATTCTTGATAAAAAAAATATGTAATATAGCAAAGACAACAATTGCTACATTACTTATTTGAACAAAGTGTGCAAAGTACATATTACATCAGAATACCACACCTGCCAACTAGCTAGCTACAGTTTTAAAAGTGATTTCTTGGTTTGCTCTTAGAATATCAGGGTTGGAAGGGACCTCAGGTGGTCATCTAGTCCAACCCCCTGCTCAAAGCAGGACCAATCCCAAAGCAGATTTTTGCCTCAGATCCCTAAATGGCCCTCTCAAGGATTGAACTCACAACCCTGGGTTTAGGAGGCCAATGCTCAAACCACTGAGCTATCCCTGTGGAATATCATATCAAAAGCTTTGCTGAAGTCAAGATATATCACATCTACCGCTTTCCCCATATCCACAGAGCCAGTTATCTCATCATAGAAGGCAATCAGTTTGGTCAGGCATGACTTGCCCTTGGTGAATCTATATTGACTGTTCCTCATCACCTCTCCTCCAAGTGCTTCAAAATGGATTCCTTGAGGACCTGCTCCATGATTTTTCCAGGGACTGAGGTGAGGCTTGCCGTTCTGCAGTTCCCCGGATTCTCCTTCTTCTCTTTTTTTAAAGATGGGACACTATATTTGCCATTTTCCAATCATCCGGGACCTTCCCCGATTGCCACGAGTTTTCAAAGATAATGGCCAATGGCTCTGCAATCACATCAGCCAACTCCCTCAGCACACTCAGATGCATTAGATCTGGATCCATGGACTTGTACATGTCCAGCTTTTCTAAATAGTCCTTAACCTGTTCTTTCACCACAGAGGGCTCACCATCTCCCTAAAAGCCAAGATATACCACGTCTACTGCTTCCCCCTATCCACAAGGCTTGCTACCCTCTCAGAGAAAGCTATCTTCTTCTAACTTAAGAGAAAGAAATTAAAAACAAAAAAGGTTAGACCCATTGTAACTGCTATTCCATCCTTCTGCAGAGTGCATATCACAGAGCCAAATAAGATACCCATAAAATGCCACATAAACCTCTAATTGGCCAAGGCTAAGAGGAAAACATGTTGCAACAATGAAAACTGTGTATTGACAAGAACATTAAATTACTGCATCCTGGCAAGTGAGCCAGCCAGACGCCTCCATTTGGCAGTCTCTATTGGGTTGCCTAAATATGGATTCAGGAACCTACATTTAGGCACCCAGGGTGGAAAAAATTGACCTTAGAAAATGGCTTGCCTTAAAACCTGTACTACACAGCGGTAGCTTTGTTTAGAACACACAGGAAAACAGAAGCACTTATTTCTAACTATTATATTGACTCTTCTGAAGTCAGAATTCAGGTTACACTATGACAGCTGGCTTGCAAACAGCTAATGTCCAGCATCCTACATAAGGATCAAACAACAACTACACAACTTCAACAGCTAACACTTATAGTACAGGGTGTGACAGTACCTCCCATAAGGCTTTATGGGAATACGACATAACTGGAATATGTTTTGTGCTGCCTGTGCCATGTAACATATCTCTGTAAAGGTTATGGTCTACTATATCTATTCATCCTATTTCTACATATATATCATTTTGTACTTGAGGTTAAGAATATTGGCTGTATAGTTGCTTGATTTCTAAGTAAGCTTTGTGAGACATTTGGTCAGCTTCTTTAGGAAGGAATTCACAAGGTTAAGTACCCGATTAGGAAGCACTTGGGGAACAATGCATCTTGGAATGCTCCAATCCACATAAGCAGTCTTCCTAGAGACGTACAAGATACCATGTGAACAATGGCTTCTGCCTGTAAAGACTGTGAGTCATGCATGGATATGTGACTTGCCCAGGTGACTCCAGAACTCCATCTTGGAGCTGGACTTTGCATAGGAGTGAGGAGGGGGGGGTCTCCACCCACAAGAGAAAGTCTATTTAAATCCCTGAGAGACCCCTCCATTTTGTCTTCAGCTGGCTAAAGAAGGAGCCTCTCCACCCCCCAGGATACTTGGAAGAAATTGGAACAAAGGGGTGTGAGTGATTGCTGGACCCAGGCTAAAAGGAGATTAGTCTGTAAAAGGGAGCATTCGGGAACTGGTGAGGATCTTATCTGTATTCAGTTTGATTAGACATAGATTTGCACATTTTATTTTATTTTGCTTGGTGACTTACTTTGTTCCAAGTAGTAA